TCCAGGTCATCTGAAATTAATAGGATTTATTTCTACACAATGTGACCTTTTTGGTGGTGCATTCAGGCCCCCCCCCAATTGAGCCATTGACCATGGTGGTCACCTGTCTGCTCAAAGCTATTCATGGGTGTAATAATACCCTAGCCAGTCCAACTGGCAGACCACTGCTTTTGTTACTCGACGGTCATGTCCTGTTTTCTCTATAAATGAATTGACAGGGGTGGTCATGCCAGTGCTGTGCTTTTGTGTACATGTAGCAAATTTTTACCAATCCAAGCCTTTAATTAATAATTTCCCCAGAGTTTTGAGTATATCCCCTTGCCATTTGGTTGTTCATGTGTTTTCAGGGTGGCCTTTGAAAAGTTCCCATACATGTATTTTTGGTAAAACCATGGTATCCTTGAAAATGCTATGAAATATAATACATGTATTTACCAACAGTTCTTTTTCCAGACCCGTTCATTTAATTTTTATAAAATTCAAGACAGCTCACTTCAGGCCAAGTCAATGCAAATTAAATTCCACACCTTAACAAGCAAGTAATTGCAGCGCACGTGAAACGACCTACAATAATTTTTTAACCACACATGCATCAAGTCAGTCTTGAGTGAAATTTCGGAAAATGTCACCTGAAAAAAAATGGAAAATCAATGGTAACATGGTGAGCCAAAATTCCAAAAGTACAATCCACCCTGAGTTGAAGGTGTTGGTATAAACTCTAAATATACTTCGACCAGTAAACATAGAGCAGTACTTCTTCCTTTGTGTGAAAAAAAAAATGGAAATGATATGCTAAAGTTTAGCTGATGATTTTGCTGTATCGAGCCAATACAACTTGATATTTTTATGTCCTGAACTTTGTCCAGTAAAATCTTGTGAAAGATCTCAGAATGTACGATTTTCAGAGTAATGTGACAGAAGAGGATGGAAGAGGAATTTTAATGGAATTGAAAAGGTCATTTAAAAAGACAGTGAAGGTCCTCCTGTACGGAAGAAAAAAAAAATCCTCTCAACTTTATGAAAAGATTGCTAAATTCATTGAAGGCCGAGAAACTCAAAATTGTGTTTTTCTTACCATCACCCATTTCAAAGTCCTTGGTATTTGTCCACCTGCGTCATCAAATGCATTCCGCCTTTCAGTGGATCGACAATGCAACACACGTTGTCGGTGGAACTCGAAAGGCCCCCGATTTGGACAAAAAAATCACACGGGCAGAGAAATGAAAATACTGGCTTTTTGTGGACATAAAGGGACTCTGGCTCTGTCACAAGGAACAATGGAGTTTCCTGCTTTGAATCCTTGAACAACTGTCTCAGTACAGAACACTTGTTATTTTTTGATGGCAAATGGAAAGACTGGTTGAGTGGTTCTTAACTCCAGAAAAATACTGTTCCTCGGATGCCGCAGACTGGCTGTCAATAATATTGATCTCGCTTGATGTTTCTTGGATATAAGGTGGCTTCCAGCAAGCAGAATTTTAAAAGAAATCTCACGAAGATAAACAAAATTTAAGTGAATGCAATTTGGAGTTACAAAAGAGGGAGGAGATGAACTGAAAGATGAAAATAATATTGTGGTCTGTCAGAAAAATAAACTTTTGTAAACTTCTCTTTCAGGCCATAGGTCATCACATTATGACGACTCACTGAAGTCACTCATATTTGTTCCCCGTGTATACTTTTTAGTTAATCGGATTAGTGTCACTCAGAAAAACTTGAAAATAATATCAGTCCATCTGTTAATCACGTTATCCCCTCCTGTAACACTATTCACGATTATTTTGTGAAAGGAGGACCAAGTGTAAAGTGATAAAGTGCACATGCTGACGGAGTGCACATGTTACAAGATGTTTAGGAGGCGTGGTACCATAGCACTTGCTGGTGTTTTAAATTCACTCAATCCAAATCTGTGCAAATGTGCTGAATGGCGGTTCTAAAATGACACCCAAATCCCCTGAAGATTTGGTAAGGCGCATGTACCCTTAACGTTTTTTTTTTCCCATTAGATTTAGAAAGTGTGAGCCTCTATACTCACAACAGGATTTTTGGGGTTTGTAATTCCTCTTTATCTTGGGCTGTAGATTACAGTTGGTAGATTCTAGGAAAATAAGTTTTGTGTGAATTGATAAAGTTTCAAGGTCCTTGCTGTAGAAGCCTCACAAACTTAGCGAGTGGCTTACATGTACTTGTAGTTTGATTACAGAGTTATATACAACTGGGAAAAAGGACTTTAGTTCTAAACCAAAAATAAATTTAAGATTTAAACTAAGTTTGCACTGAATACCATCATCACATGGGTAGTCCCCGAAACTGAGTCAGTTTCATTATATTCTTCACCTTAAGTGGGAATCTCAAGTTTGTTTCACACCTCAATTTGTTCCATTGCTCCTGTCAGATGTCTAAATCTGTGAACTGGGTCAGACACTTGCTTTTTACTGGGCCAATAAAATTTCAAAACACGCATGTGGAGCAGATGCCTCAGACACACCATCGGGTGCAAAATGCGTCCCGCTCTTCCACAATTAGACACCTTCATACACCAGTCTAAGCCCTGGGGGCAGGAGACAGGCGCCGGATAATTGAGCATTTTTTCTTTCCCCTCCCCCCTTTCCAACCCCCCCTCTTCTCGCCCCTGGTTTAAAAATGTTTTGCTTTATCAAATAGAGGTTTTGCAGAGCCGCAGTGTGCTGATCTGATAATGGTTGTCAGAGAGGCCGGACCGGGGTGGGATTCGCGTCCTATTTAGATAAATGGAGCAGTGGGGCAATCATGATCTATAAAGTTGGTCTACAATTGAGAAACAGGGAGAAGACTTGAGCGAGGCTTTCTGGCAATTCTGGGTGGAGGTTCTAGTAATGTTTTAACCGGTCTCCTTGACTCCCTGTTTTGATGATTAGGAATGTTTTGCATGTATCACATTTGTCTTAAAATCAAAGCTCTGCACAGTTATCTACATCATATCCCGGATTAGTGGGCTGGTTATATTTTGATTTCTGTGTAGAACAATTTCCCATTCCTTCCACCACTTAGGATGAGGACTCCTGACATGCCTTGTATTCATTTATGTTTTAACATCAGAGGACAGTGTAACAAAATGACAAAGGATACGTTTTCTGTATTTATGCAGTACCGTGTTGTATACTAGGGTATTTCATTCCAGTGGTGGGCCATACTGCATACAGTGTATTGCCAACTTGAGTAGTTTGCCTTTGAACAGTCGTACAACACCAATGGAATGATTTCCAAAGTGGGGGGGGACAGTTATGAGACCATCAGGCATCAGCTGTTAATAGACCAATTCATTAAGCCCCGCCCTGTCATAAGGGTAAGACCTGCCAAAAGTGGGAGCTTGCCCCCTCCTCCCTCCTGTCAAAAAGGTGGGAGGGGCTGTTGGCTCCCTGTGCTCCTTACCCCTTTCCATTGCCAGTGGCGGCATGTTACTTGTACTGTATGTAGCAGGAAGTTTTGTCAATAAAGCTCACATGGTGCATCAAAAACTCACCGTAAGATGCCAAGCAGTGGCTTTTGAGACCTGGACCAGTACCCATGGGACGTGAGTGGACAATGGTCACGTACAGAGGCTTAGAAATCACTTCTCTTTCCAATGTTCTCAAGTTCTGGATTTATCGATAGCTCCTGTCATCTGATTTCAAATTTTAGGAATAGTTACAACATGACGTGGAACATGCATTACATTTCTCGGGAACTTGGCAATATTTCATCATGCCTGTGCTTAGCTCACAGATGAAATGGTCAACATTCTGTAACAGAAATTTGGGTATGTAAATGTCCAGATTCCTTGCTTTTAGCCCTTGAAATATGCCAACTGTTTACGCTAAACTATCTGCCATAGCTTAATAGCAAAGACTACAGTGAGCAGAGCCGTGAAATTTGAAATTATGAAACCAGGCGTGTCTGAATTTGCCAGCATCATGGGATGATAGTTTGTTAGTATTCCTAAAGAGATGCAATTTCGTCATAAACAACTGTACACAAAGCAGGTAGACGTTTTGCCAGTTGGGTGTGTTAGAGGTTTCAAACTTGGTCTGACAGCTTTACGAGCATAGAATAACACCGCACAAATTGCCCATGCGAGAATATATGTGACAGAGGATTGTTCTGATCCATCCTATATACCGGCACAGCACCCATTACGTCTCTGTAGTGTTACAGGACTGTTACAAAATAATAAGCCTGCACTTTCAAACTTGTAATGCGAGGGTTGTGTATACAAGATGTATTATTTCTGGTACAGCTCATTTGGCCATTTGATGTTTCCAGCGAGGGTGCTTCCACTCCATTGCATCCAAGCATTCAGGAATGCTGACAAATTAGGAAAGAGTGCAAAGAATGTAAATTTGCTTGCTGCTGAATAGTGGCGATAAATTTGTTGACGTATCTTTTCACGTTGAGTGTTCAGCACAGTCAGCAGAAGCTTTTTTTGGTGGAGGGGATTAGTTGAAATTTGGTTTAAATTAAACATACTGTGCCAACCAATTTAATCAAATTCCATGAAGGTTTGGCTTGAAAGCTTTTTTGTTGTGAATTATCTTCTCTTTTGGGATGTGTTAAATAGCTCTGTGAAATGAGGCCGTAGAAGCACTCTGATCAAGTTTCTTACATGCTGAAGTAAATCATTGGACTTCGTCCAGATTTTCATATTTATAGATTTTGATGTGAAAGCAGAGCTGTAGAAAAATGTGATAAGTTTCTCGATTCCCTTGATTGAAAAGACAGTTGTGTTCCCTACATGTACATGTAGCTTGGCACTCTGTGGCACCCGTCATGGTCATATTGTTTACCCCCAACTTCCTGAGCCCAGAACATGGCACGCAAGCAAGAACTCAGTCAGTAATCAAACCAAATGTTTCATCTGCCAGGACATCAAGAAAAAAGCTGTCAGCTGTCAATTTCATTCCATTTGGATTCTCATAGAGGTCCCAGTGGTTCAGTCACAATCGTCTCACAATTCTATTTTTTTTCTCCATTTGCTGTTTCAGACAACCTTTTGGCAGTGTGTCAACACGTCTGCACCAGGTAAGCCAAACAAAACATCACTCCTTTTTTTTTCCCCATTTTTTTTGACGGATGTACGGTGCGTGACTTTTCCTGCGTTCCTCAGACTGTTTCTTGCGACTCTGAATGGCTGCTTTCTTTGTGTTCTCCCCAGTGTCTGTTTTTCTGCCTGGGCAAAAATCCCTGCTTTGTCAGGAAGACTATTATAATTGCCATGTTTGTTATTCTTTGCTGTGAATGTGCTTTTTTTTTGGCACATTCTTGTACATGTACTTCAGGCAACTTTTAATGGTATTTGGAGTGTCAATCAATTTTAGGAGTTGTGCTCTTCATCTATTTCTGATGGTACATTTGACAAAAACACTGCGGGGAAATTCCAAATTACTGCACAATAGAACATGTTTATTAACTACTTATATTTTGCTGCGTGTTCTCGTGCATTGTACATGCACAAGTAGAATGGAAAAGTTTGAAGTTTAATGTACAAAGCGGGACTTGGGAAACGTGAAATTGTAATTTTTTTTCCCCACGAAAGTTGACTTCATCAAAGGTGTCATCGTGGTTCACTGATGAGCTGTACTACGGTATTTACCATGAAGACTTTTTAGTTTTTACAAATGGCTGATAAACATCAGCTCTTATAACTTCTTGATCGATCGAGGAAAAAAAATATGAGTGTGGGTCGTTTCTAGATTGAAATGTGTGGAAAGCTCCTACACTGTTGGTAGTCCATGCTAAATCTTCCAGGTGTGCCGGTAGGTATGCTCTTTTACATGGTTATATGACCAGAAGTGTGGGTGTACGTAATGCATCATCCCCACTGGGAGACACAAACAGTAATTGCAGGAAGCAATAAAGAACATGGAGTTATTAGACCAACCCGTGACACAATCTGCCATGACAGACTCATCTCATGTGGAAAAAGCTTGCTAGAATGCACCGGTTTACGGCACAACAGACCCCCCTGTGATCCACCCACCGCCGCCCATTAAAGGATAACCCGCAACTTCCCCTCCGTGCCCAGTGGGACCTTACTGGTCCCCTGTATTGTCCCCCTAATGGCCGCCATTCTCACTCAGACACGTCTCGACAATTTGCGGCACACAGGCCCTCGGTTTTTCTTTTTGAACTCTCAAGAAGCCCTTTCCTCTGTGTTTAATGAGCTGTATGGCCGGCACCCATTGTACCTCCCCACGGACCGTTTGAGTTTTCAATAACCCCTGGTGGCGACCCCATTCTTTTTTGGAGAAGGATTCGACCACGTGCAGGGTCTGCCTCCTCACCTTATTGTTCCGGATCCTGGTTTGTGAATAACTCAAGTGACTGACTGCTTGCCAAACCACACGTTGGGAAATTTTTTTTGGGGGTGCATTTGTACAGAGTGTTTGCGCAGAATGAAGGCAGCAGTTTTGCTGGCATTGTCCCATCTTGGCAAAAGCCCACCCCTGAAATCAACGGTAATACCCGCTCTTGTTCCCCCTTCAAGAGACGGCAAAGCAGGGATTAAGGGTTTAGTGTCTTTTGGGAGGGAGCTATTGATCCCACCTTGCCAGCATTGATTTCACAGGGGGATTTGGCACTCCAAAATATCAAGGGGATAAACCTGTGTGAGACAGACTTTGAAGAGTATGTTATTCAAACCAATGTTCCAATTTGGCACCGTTGATACCGAGAGTAGAAACATTAGCCAGGACCTTCCGAGTAGAGGGAAACCATCTAGTGAACTGTAAAGAAAACCTGACTGACATTGAACATGGAGACGTGACTTTTTCATGCTGCCATCACTGTTTTAAGTGGAGCATAACATCCATAAAAATGCTTCCTCTTTTGTTGAAACCTCAGCAGCTTTATCACCGAAAGTCTTTTAGAATTGGCAAATAGCAGTTAGGTTTATGACTGTCCCAAACGAGGTCATAAAAGCTATTAATGTCCAAACTGTGCATGGGTTGTTTCATGCTTAAGGGGGACTTCTGATCCTTGTAAGCACGTTTTAGTGTGGATGCTGTTGATTCAGTGAATTCTATTCAGTTTTGGTTATTTCCTTTTGCTTAGTAATGGCTTTAAGCTCTGTCAAGATAAGAAGGATGGATGGTGCGTGTCAGTTCTGAGGTGCATCGGGATTGTAAATAAAACATAAGGGCATTACCGTGGTTGATCATTCCAAAAGAAAGACATTCAGACATACAGCTGCTTCCTTTACCAGATCCCTTCAATCAGGGTAGACAATTGTTTATATCCTGTTTTATGTTCTAAACTTCAAAATAGTTTACATTACTGAACGCCTACATTAAAAACTTCAAAGTTTTCACATCAGTTTGTTCACTTCGCTTTCATTTGGATTTGGATTTCTAGCAGTTACAGTGAAGTGTCTTAAGCTGTGTCTGCATTTCCTGGCTGTGGCTACCGTCTACATGGAAGTCAGAGTCTTACTGAAGTACGGACTAAGCCCATTTTGGACCTGAGTTTAGGCAGAATCGGATATTGAAGACCCCTAACCTCTCAAGGCTTTGCACGGTTATTGTTCAGTGCACTCTGCATCATCACTGTGCCTTTAACCTAGATTTGACAGTGTAAGGCCGGCCTTCTGTTTCTACTTATGGAGCATAGACTTAGCCATGTGTCAAGCCAACATGAAATGAAGTGCAAAATAGTTAGGCCAGAGATAATCCACTTGCATTCTGGTTGCCCCGTGGACAGTGTATGTAGTGGATGCACACAGCTTCTTCTGGCAACCAGTGATGGATCTGCTACAAGATGAATGGCTGCAACGGAGGAAGCCCTCCATTTAGCATCTGCCACTACCAATGTGACCTGGAAGCGGGACAAGAGATAAAGAGACATACCATCTTGCACTGCTGTCCTTGCTGATAACATGGAGGAAGGAACACAGTGTGTACATGTACAAGCTTTGTATCTTTATGGCCTGAAGTACACGGTACACACGCACCAGAGAAGAGTGGCTACAGCAGTCGCCACTGGCATCCATAGGTACATGTGCTATTACCAGCCTTATTCAGATGTAGGCTTATGCAGCTGACGTTATTGTGGAGTTGAGTTCCGCTACAATTTCAAGGAATAAAAAAAGCAGAAAATAGTGGTTCATATTCTTACAGTTTCAATCTGGTAACAACAACATACACATTACCTGGTATTTTAAGTGGAATCTTTTTTGGTAAAGCAAACAAGTAATCCTTTTGTTTTTAATTTAACCATTTACCCCAATGTAGGGCAGTGAACATTACACAATTCTTGTAGAACTTTCTTTTGGCATTACTGCATAGAGAATTAAGTTCTGTCATCCTGGACCTGATCATAGGCTCATTGAGTCCTGTTTACACAGAAAGCTGAGTATTGCATACATGATATCAACTGTGCCTCTGGATGATATGACCCTCCTCATCCAGAGAGAGCTGAATTCCCTGTTTCTGGAGTTTGTTGACCACTACAAGTAGCTTGAGGGTGCATGGACAGACAGGAAAACATGAACCTGTGCAGTGACATTCCAGCAAGATACAAGTACTTCTTCTGTAGGGCAGCTATCACTTACGCGGTCTGTGCTGGCTAGATAATGTGACATGGAACAGATCCAAGTGATCTCCATCATGCATTTCTAATTGCATGTTCTGCACTTTTTCGACTTAGGAATGAACGTGTAGCAAAGTAACAAGGGCAGAAAGGGACCATGTCAAGGTTCAGCAGCTATAGACTTGTATCAAGTCATTTGGACTTTTATTAGAATATTAACTGGTTTTAAACTCAAGGTTTCTCGAAAACTAGTACCTGTAAAAAGTCTCTAGATATCTTTTCCATTTCTGAATAATCCTATTCTACTTTTATCTCGTTATCACAAAAACAACGACCTTATGGAATTTCCCCATTTTCTCTCATAAAATTTTAAAGCACTTTTCAAATTCCTGTCTCAAAAATTGAGTATGTGTTTCTAGTTTCTCGGGGTATGAGCAGCCTCAATAACTGGTATTGGTTTTTGTGCCCTAAGGGGGGTGTCCACGGAGGGGCGGGTCTAAGACTTTCAGAGGGACCGCTAATTGCCCCATCCAGCCCTCCCTCCTTGCCTAGCCAGAGGGGGAATTCTATTGGGTAGCAGGTAGGCAGCAGTAACTAACCTAACCCATTCCCCTTGGTCTGTGCAGACTGCAAGGTCCAATTACCCCACTGGAAACATTTTCCGGTTTGGAGAATAATAAACTCTGAAGGGTTGGAAGGCTGCCGTATATTGAGGTTCAGCCATGCATGTTACGTCCGCTTGCATTTTTTTCTAGCTGTGTTCCATGCACACAGGAGTTCATACACTTCATAAAAAAAGCCGCACACTACAGGCAAAACAGCATTATGTATGGAATAATAAAATAAACTTTTATAAGGATTACTGAAAGTATTATTCGTATACCAGCCTAAAAATCAGGGCTGATGAACTTTTCAGTGGGTCTGTAGAGTTGGCATGATAACAATCTGTGTTGTGCCTTCATCAGCAAGAGACTGTTGCATAGATTGAACTTGAGTTTAATTGTCAGGGTACGGTAGCTTTCTGGTGAAATATTGATGCCTACCCTGATCTTATCAGGATTCGTTTTTCCCCTGACTTGCTGTTCAATTTTCACCTTCAGTGAATGTTTTCTGGGCAACCATGTCAAGAGTCTTTTCCTGTTTCCCTGATAAACATAGCCAGACAAAGCCTTGGTCTGTTAAGCGTTTCAGCTGTTGAGGTGATTTTCTTTTCCTTTTCTTTTGTTGTCGAGCCGTAAAGTCCCTGACTGATGTTATCAAAATCTGTTTGACATTTTGCTGTTGGTTTTTTCACCTCTGTTCATTTTTTTTATCGTAAGTCTGCTTGCTAGTTTGTGTGGGTTATTGTAGATTTTACGATATTGGATAAATTTGATTGCAACTGTGGCAAAAACCAAAGTTCAGAGTTCTAACTGGTAGGGAATGGCAAAAGTACATTGCCTTGGTTGAGTTTTTCTCCGTATGGCCATGGGTGGTCCACTTTTACAAGAGGGGAG